GATTCTATGATTCTATGAAAATTTCTGAAAAGGTTCATTGCCATTGTGAGAATGCTTGCTACCCAAAACCTAGCACTGCGTGGCACTTCAGATCAGCTGTATGTGCCAAACCATGGAAACTTCCTTAAAATTGTGGAGCTGATGGCTGAGTTTGATGCTGTACTCCAGGAGCATCTAAGAAGAGTCACCACCCAAGAAATGTACACACACCACTACCTCGGAAAAACAATTCAAAATGACATCATACTGTTACTGGCAACAAAAGTCAAACAGAAGATTGTGGCAGATCTGAAGTCAGCAAGATATTACTCTGTTATTCTGGACTGCACACCTGACATCAGCCATACAGAACAAATGACTTTAATGGTGCGTTTTGTAACAACAACAGAACCATGCGAAAATGTCCCTGCAATGGTAACTGTCAGAGAGCATTTTCTAGAATTTATTGACATTGACGATACTACAGGAGTTGGTATGACAAATGTGCTTCTTAAAAAGCTGGAAGACACGGGAATTGCGATAGCTGACATGAGAGGTCAGGGCTACGATAATGGTGCGTGCCAACAAGAGAGGAAAGAACAGAGGAGTGCAGACACGGATCTGAAAGTTAAACCCTTGAGCTTTTTTTGTCCCATGCAGTTCTCCTTCATTGAACTTGGTGGTCAGTGATGCAGCATCAGCTTCTAGTGAGGCTACTGAATTTTTTAATATAATTCAAAGCATCTATGTATTTTTCTCTGCATCAACTCATCGATGGCAAATTTTGAAGCAACATCTGGGAACATCCTCTCTGACACTGAAACCACTGAGTGCCACACAATGGGAAAGTCGAGTGGAGGCGATAAAGCCTATCAAACACCAAATTGGGAAGATAGATGATGTCATAGTTGCCATTATGGAGGATAATGCTATGACAGGAACTGTTTGTGGGAGAACGGGGCAGAGGGAAATGGAATCACCAGAAATATACATAACTTCAAATTTCTGTGTGGCTTAGTGTTGTGGCATGACATACTGTTTGAAATAAATGTTGTAAGCAAGAGACTCCAAGGTGTTGACCTTGATATATCTGGAGCAATGGAACAACTCGACAAAGCAAAGTCATACCTACAGTCTTACCGGTCAGATGAGGGATTTCAAAACTTTCTGAAGAGTGCACAGAAATTGGCAGAAGAACTTAATACTGAAGCTATTTTCCCACACATTCAAGAATACAAGAGTCACCGAAGAAGAAGACATTTTGATTACGAGGCATGGAATAATAACATAAGAGACCAAAACAACAATTCAAAGTTGAATTCTTTAACCAGGTGCTAAATTGTGTCATACAGTCAGTTGAAGAACGTTTCACGCAGCTCAAGGAACACAGCAGTATATTTGGGATGTTGTATGATATTCCAAAACTCCTCACTATACCTGAAGAAGACCTACACCAGCAATGCAGGGCACTAGACACAGTGTTGACACATGCGCGATATTGATGCGAGCGATTTAGGTGATGAACTGAAAGCCCTTTCAAGATACATTTCAGCAGGATCAACTCCAAAGGCTGTTCTGCAATATAAGTGCACAAATAACATGACCACCCTCTTTCCAAATGCTTTTGTTGCTCTGCGCATACTTCTAACACTTCCTGTAACAGTTGCCAGTGGAGAACGCTGCTTCTCCAAGCTGAAGTTAATAAAAACACATCTACGCTCCATAATGACACAGGAGAGGCTGGTCGGCCTTGCAACCATCTCAATAGAGCACGAGCTGGCCCAGACTGTGGGCCTTCAGGAAGCAGAAGCAGTTCAAATCTTTGCAACCAAGAAGGCACAGAAAGCATCACTTTGATTATTCAAACAGGTCAAAATGCCAGTGTTTACTATGCAGACAAGAAAAGTTATATTTGCTGTTCAGGCGTTTGAAAGTTAAGTGACAGATTTCAACCCTGATATTCTATGATCTCATTTTGTGCCTTGGCCTTTCTAATTTTGTCCCTAGATAGAAGTGTAGCTATGGTGGCTCGAGTGGCAGGAGGGGCTAGCTACCCCAAGTCTGAAACCCAAGCGCATCCAGATTGTAGTTGCTTGACTAGCCTGTACCACCTCCTGTGCTGTGAATGCTACTTTAATGTATGTCTATCTGAGCTAGGAATTACACCTTTCAACTCCAGTGCAGACCTATGCCTGCTGGGGTCAGCACTGACCCATTAAACAGATACCAAACCAGCTGAGACCTCATTGCTGGTCAGTGCCAGTCCTCCCCAAACTGCCCCAGAACTGTGCACACTGCCTGCTTCTACCTGCTGCATAAGGAGAGCTCACTGCAAAGATCACCAGTCAGGAGCTCGCCGGGGGTTCCTCCCAGCAGGAAGTTGGTGGATGAAAGTGCACAGAAGGCATTCTGTGGAGTGACGGCTCTGGCAGGCAGCCCAGCTGGCTAGAAGAACCACAACTGATTTCCAAAGCTCCCGCGTGGCCAAGCATTCATCACACTGTTCTCAGCCACACCTGGTCGTTTGCATGTTTCCACAGTGTCAGCAGTTCCCACGCTCTGGGAGGGTGTGATGTCACTTCCACCTATCCCATCATGCTCAGCTCCTGAGCCTGCAAGCAGATGTCTTCACTGTAGAGTTAGCCCAGACGATCGGCCCTCGGTTCTGAGACACTGCAAAGCCACACTTCAGTGTGTCTAGTCAACTGTGTCCTCGCTGGCTTTGCATTTACTGGTGTGTGGCACAAGGACTTCTGGGGACATAGCCCGTGGTTCTTAATGCTGCAGGGAGCTGAGCCACTCTACGTGGGAGAACTTGTTTGTCCTTTGGGCACCTGGGGGGCTTGAGGGAAAGAACTAGAGGACGATCAGCCCTCCAGTAGTTTAGCCTGGGCTCCCACTGCAAAGTGGGCGGGTTAACAGCCTGAATAACAACAGCACGTGGGCTCTAGCCTGAGGGCTGAGCACTGCCACATGCAGGCCAGAGAGTTTGTGTGGCTGGGAGCTGAGTTAGGAGTTGCTCATGGGTGACCAGGGTGATGGCTATGGTGGGCTCCCAGACATCAGGCACAATCAGGGCCGGCTTTAGGCCGATTCAGCCGATTCGGCTGAATTGGGCCCCGCGCCAAGTGGGCCCCGCACTGCAGCTCTCCACCCCGCCCCCAGCTCACTTCCCCCTCCTCCCCTCCCCTGCACGCTCCGCCCCCTCCCCTGCTTCTGAAAAAGTCTGAAAAAGAAGCAGGGGCGGGCCGGCAGCACAAGGTAAGCTGGGGTGGTGGGAGCGCGAGAAGGGCTCCAGGGAGGCGCG